AGAAATAGTACATTGAATGCATCTGTTCCATTACCACCAATCTGAATCCATGTGATTCAATATCTCTAATTATAATTACTTCTATCATGTGTGCCTATGCCAGGGAAGTCCTACTCATTGCCTTCTCGTGATGGGTGTGTTGTTTACAAAATTGAGAGGACAAAAAGCGCTTTAACCGGGTTGGTGGATATGGTGAGTCCATCTAGGGGAGTTGGGAAACCCTCAATAATAAATAATGTGTAAAATCAATCAAGAAAAACATATATTTTTCAATTGTTTCTACCAGTAATAGATTTGTTATTTTTTTGTGATACGTTTTGATATTAAGTAAAGGGAATAAAAAAGAGTGATTTAATGAAGAGTTTCCTATTCGATGAATTCACGTTCAAAGATGTACAAAATATTATACTTGTTGTTTCAGGATAATAATAATTACAATAATAGTAATAATAAAATTCTATTAAACATGGTAACAATAAGGTAGAATAAACAAAGGCATTAAAACGTTACTTTTTAGTTATAAAAACTAATAATAATTTTCAACTTAGTATTGTTTGTTTGAATCTTCCCATCGATTTGTTAGGACTGCAACTGCTAACCATGCTTGTGAATTAAGGCTATATCGAGGCAATACGCACAGTATGCACATATGCCAATTAGAGACTGACCAATTGCAGTCCTAACAAATCGATGGGAAGATTCAAACAAACAATACTGAATGAATTTAAACTTCACCCCATTGCACAAGCAAGTGGCTATCATTAATCAGTGACCGAGTGAATAACGCGATGGCGTTTGAAGCGAGGGTACTGGGTTTGAGTCCCAGAGTGAACATCAACTCTGAGATGCAGGTACATCCAGCTGACGAGTCCCAAATAGGACAAAACGCGCGTCCTGGATTCCACTGCTAGTCACTATCCATCTCTGCTAATAATAATTTTGTTGTTAGGACCTCAAATATTCATCATAAATAATAGATTCGGAAATTATAGTTGGAAAGGAAAGGCTCAGTAATGTTAGATTCAACAATAATAAATACATTTTTTTAAAATATCCCAATAAGTAGAAAAATTGTATTTTTGATGTTTCGTGACCTAATGTAAACTACTTCTTCAGAGTAAATAAAAAACCGAAATTAAATGAACATACGTTTAAATAGTACCAAATCATTTGAAATTATCAAGTTCAATCTTAGTATTGATACTTACAAACTCATTAATAATCGGATTAAATTATCAAAGTACAAATACAACAGGTAAATCCATCATCTATTTCATAAACATTATTCCTAGATTTCTCATTGTGAAGCAACTTGAAAGTTCGTGGCGATCTACTCATATTGCTGAACATGTGTCACGAATCTTTTTACAAGAACACTTCCACAAATGTACTTTTACATTACAAAAATACCGATAACTTCAAAATAAAAGTAACAAGGTACTATTTAAACTTGTGTTAATTTCGGTTTTTTATTAGCTCTGAAGAAGTGGCTTACATTAAGTTACAAAACGTCAAAAATACAATTTTTCTACTCAATGCTTAATTTCTTTGAAATTATTAAGATTCAATGATGTTGATATAGCTATCTACAAATTGTTCAGATCAACTGATTTTACTGTTAGAACTACATTTTTTGTATATATGGATGGTTTTGTTGACGAAATGCTTATTATTTTACTTCTCTATAGAGAGTTTAATCTTCTTTTTTTAATTTTAGCTGTAAATGCTTACTTAGTTACTTTTGTAGACTGTTGTATACACAAGATGCATATCCTATACAAATTAAGTTAGTGTGTGTGTGTGTGTACATTAGTTGATTCATGATTGGTAGTAGTCTAGTGTACTTTATAAATAGTTGTATGCAGTAATATAATATATACCTATATACATATCAAGCACTCCACGTGATATTGATATACATTTAAGTAAAAAAAAGCAATCTATAATTTATGGTGACTCTATTTTACCTTGATTAAATTCACTATTTCAAATGGGGGGGAGTGACTATGAAGGCTATACAGTCATTTTATCCAAGCCTCATCTACTTTATTTATTTATTTAAACACATAAAAATTGGTACAAGGAAGCACCAGATACATATGCGCCACACAAATCTCATTTGATTTGTGTGAGGGCTGTGATACTGCCCAGGTGCCCGAACTGAAGCAGGTGGTTTTCTTAGGGGCCAACACCCGGAGCCTTTGACCGAAAGATCTGATCAACAAGGCAATGGAGCATCGTGAGGAGATGCAGTCCCATGGTAGCCGGTGACCAACGATTGGTTCGTACACCATTTGTTCCTTCAGGATACTGGAGCCCATGTGCACCACTGGTTTGGAATCAGTGTTTTCCAACTTCCCTAGGTGGACTTTCCATGTCCACCAACCCGGTTAAAGTGCCGGACATTCGCTTTTCGTCCTCTCAATTTCGTAAACAACAGTAATACAACGAGAATGCAGTGAGTAGGACTTCCCTGACAGAGGCTATATATTCGCTGGCCATGTGAGAGCATTCGGAGAGGGAGAGTGGACTCTCCCCACTCTCAGCCGTACAACCAGAACTCTCTCAGTTAAAAAAGTTATAACCACTCTTTATGAAGAAAGTAAAAGAAGGTTACAGCAGGCTCACTACTGGCTTCTATTCTGAGCCATATCTGATAACGTCTCTAGCGACTGTGTTGCACCATCTCTCGGACCCCAGCCAGGGAGTCGTGAAGGACCAACAGAAGCTAGCCCTTCGCAGCTCTCTTTCATGCCACGACACCATGTCATACACTGACCTCCTCTCCGCTTTTTCCAACCAGTCCCAGGGTCGGCAAATAATGCACGACGTGGAAGTCTCTGGGACGACATTCGTGGAACATGTCCAAGCCACCGATGTCGGTGTTTTAAAATGGTGACATCCATTGGATTGTCGTCTCTGCTCCCGAACACACGATGCCGAACCTCTGCATTACTAACATGGTGTTGCCACTGGATGTCAGCAATCTTTCGGCCTCATCTACTACTCAACACCGCCAGTTTTTTTTCTTGTGTCTTTGCGTTCCGCTAAAATTTCTCTATTTAGATTGTTTAATCATAGTTAATGATAGAATGGATTGTGTTTACTCTATAAACATCTATTTGATATTATATACAACGCTTAACTATTCAAATTTCTTGTTGCCATCTAGTTTTGTTTTTAACTATGCAAATATTACCATGAATTCATAGGTTAACAATAACTGACTCATTACATATTTGTTTGTCGCATTGTAATATTTGCATAGTTTAATCTTTTCTTTTTTTTAAAAAAAAAATGGTTCAGTGTTGGCAAACTTATCATAAAATTTTTCCGGAAACACTATTATGACAATTTTTGGTAGACATGTCATGTAATACAACAGATAAATACACCATACAATGTGAAAATGTGGTCATAGGAACAAAAATCGATCGAAATTGTGTATGAATGACAGCTTAATGGCAGTTAACTAATTATTTAAGTTAAACGAAGATGGATGATGGCTAGTAATGGAATCCAGAACACGTGTTTCGTTTCATTTTGGACGAATCAGCTAGATGTACCTGCATCTTGTCGTTGATGTTCACTCCTTGACTCGAACCTAGTACTGTTCGTTTCAAATTTCATCACGTTATCCACTTAGCAACTGAGTTAAATGATATATGAACAGATGGGAATCTGTCCACAGTATCCTCTCTTTTTGTGTACTATATTCAAATATATGATATTATATGTAGGGAATATTCTCCTATCCAATGTAAGCTAAGACTTTGACAAAGTGATATCATCTTAATGGACTTGGCAGCATTCACAATTGCTTAATCACTAATTAGTAGTGATTAGTGTTATATGTTATATCAAGTTCTATCGATTAAGCTGCAATGCATCCACTAGTCTGACTCGATATCGCATGCATTGTGTTCAAATGTAAAATGATAGTTGGAGGTAGTTAACCGGAAAGTTTGGACAAGTGCGGAATACCACGAAACTTTTATTGTCGCCTAATTTCAAACATCACTTTACTTCAGAGCATATTTGTTTTACTTCTCGAGTATTGTTTAGAAAACTTTGAACTAGTCATCATATTTCTTCAAAGGTGGGTTTATTAATGAAAATATTTCTAACGAATTCTAATGATATTTACCTTAAAAAATACAGCAAGATATAGAGGTACCTTATCTTGGTTATAATGTAGCGTAGTACTGACTAGTCAAGTAGTCAGAGATCCGAATAAATATTGATTTATTTAGTAATAGCATCTTTATTTCTTTGACTACAGTATACCGAACAACATAGATTCAAGCTTTTGTATTCGGACTGTAGGGAGATCGATTTCCCTATACTGCTGGGTACATATATCTTTCCGATACGTTCTGCCAATGTGTACGGAAGCTGTAGCATAGGTTTTGTTGTCGTCATCGTTATCAACCATCAATATTTTAGCATACAGAGTCGAGCTCTAGTGTAAATGTTTCTTTTTCTCTCTCCATTTTCTGTAACAAAAGTTCGTTTTAGTCACCATAAGTTTTGTATCCGTTAAGAAACAGGTAAATTTGACATTATTTTACCTATCTGATGTCAACCATCTATTTGTTAGGAATTACCGCGATGGACTCTGTTTTCTGGTGTAAGAATAGGTTAGAAGAAAGTTAATAGTGACCAAATCGAAAACATTATATCAGTCCATAAAATTATCATCGGCTATTGGTCTTAACCATGTTTGTCGATATAGACTACAACTGCTTGGGGTTCACGAGATCATCGTGATCAAAATCAATCACAATGACTCTGATACATTAATTGGTTATCTAGATTTTACGTTTCAATATTCCTTCATACATACATCCTTCATACATATATTCATACAATATATCTACCCTAGAACCCTTCATTGATCATCACTAATTGCTATCAGTAATTATTAAATTTATTTGCATCTTTTTATAATGTTCAATTGTTCTTTTCTTTCTTCTTCTTCTTCTTCTTAACTTCAACAGTATCTTACAGCTGATCTTGGTGGTCGTTCAACATGTTCTCAATATACTAAAGAAATATGTCGTCAAATTGAACAGAAAGCTTCAAATCGATAAGAAGAAGAAGAATCATCATATAAAATTGTTCATTTTATTAAAATCACATTTCAGCTTGATGAAAGGAGGAAATAAGATAATAATTTAGTTATTCAATTTTTTGTATAGTAATAATTTCTTGTTTCAATTTATGTTATCTATTAGTTTATTAAGTCAATTTTTTTTATCATTCTGTATTGTATGCTTGTTTTGTTTTAGTTTTTGTGAAACATCTCACACACACACACACACATTGTGTTTCTTCCCTTTGTCTTCCTTCTTCTTCCCCCTTCTTCTTCTTCTTCTTCTCTCTTCCGACCACATTTTGATTAAAATTGCCTATAATGAAGTATTGCATGAAATGTTTTTTTGTTGTTGTAGAATTGTATAATATAGAGATTATTCAAATGCATAATATTTGGATTCTTTGTTTATTGAAGAAGGTTAAAATGATGATAAGTATATATTACAATATTAACAGAAAAGCCTGCTGATAGATATCTCTGGTCGTTGTAGTGTATCTCAAACATATATATTTTTCAATTGAAGCTAGACCACCAGGGAAAACCTGGAATCATTGGACGGCGGCGCATATATATTTCTGGTGCCCCTTTGTGCCAATTTTTATGTGTTTAAATAAATAATAAATAAATACTCATGATATTGGTCAAAATATGACTTTAATTTGCGAGGAAATAGACACATTCAATGGGTTAAAAATCTTTGATTTTCTTAAGAAGATAGATATAGATTTATGAATGAGTTTGTGTATACGTTTTTTACTCGGTTAGTTAATAAGAGATTCTTACTCTTGATTTTCTCGCTCAAGTGTATATATTAGTAGCAGACTAGAATAACTGCAGAATGTAACGTAAACTAGTTCATCAATTATAGATTTTACGACCAACTAACATTAACTAGTAAACAGTCAGAAATTAGGAAACCTTTGAAATATCTACATCATCTTTAGTTTAGAAGTCGTTGGTATTTGATACCCACAGTCTGAAACCTTCTAAATCAAATTTCTATCATCCTTTTTATTAGCCTCATTACTATAACATCTATTGCATCATCTTGATTGGATGTTGTCAACTCTCTCTCTCTAATCTAATATCATATGATCATGAAGTAGGTTATATTGTGATAAATTGGTTTCATCTATCAATTAGTTATTTAGTAGTACATTATATAATCGATTTTTTTTTAAAAACTGGTTTTATTTTTAAGTTCGAATGTTCCTTCAGTTATTTTGTTTTGTCAAAATTAAATCTGAACTACTTCATCGCTATCGAACATACACACACAAATAAGGTGTGGTTTTACTACTTAGTACTTGGAGTTGTAGTTAGTTACTAAATCATTCCCTAATACGTTTAATCTTTTTCTTCTCACTGTGTACAAAATATTGAAGATACTTCATAATCTACGATCGTTTATTTAATCATTTAGTAATAACAATCAACTGACAGCCATGTTGAATATCTAGGCTACCTGTTCCTTCCATCTAGATATTTCAACACATCTTTATTAATCGCATAACTTATTCAGGTGTGTTTATGAAAAGTTTACGACAATCAAAAACATCGTGGTGCCTGGCAATATGAATAGAAAAGAATGTACATTATTTAGATATCAATTCTTGAACTGTTTACATGTGGCTAGCGATCACTTCATATTTATCATCAGGATCAATAAAGAAATAAGAAACAGAAACTTGTTAAAATACTTTGTGCTGAGAATTCTATGTTATACTAAAAAAAAATTGAATAGAGAATAATAAGTAATATAAACTTAACCCCATTAATTGGCTATTAATGTTTATATGTGCAAGAGTGAGAGAGGGAGATAGAAAGCGTTTCATATCGATTACTTCTGTTAAATGTACCATGTATATTGATTTATACGACAACTTGAAATGATGTAAATATATTCTGTATTCTATATTGCATATAACCTATTGACTCCACAAATGTCTAAATCAAATTATAATTGTGTACTGTAGTTTTAATTATTAGATTGAAGTTGAAGTTAGACATTAACACCATTGAATGCCTGCTCAGTAGTCTATTGGTTAAGTGCTCTGGCGCAAGAGTGGTAGGTCCTGGGTTTGAATCTCACGAAGCGGGATCGTGGATGCTCATTGCTGAGGAGTCTCACAATAGAACGAAACGGCCGTCCAATGCTTTCAGGTTTTCCATAGTGATCTAGCTTCAATTGACTCATGATATCAACTATGAAAAATATTACATTTAAGATCAATTGCTGAAAACCTTAATGTAACTTATGGTTTACGAAGCTTTATAATTAGTAATTAATGTATTCTGAAAATAACAACTACAGAATTCATACCAGTTTACAATTATGATCACATTGATATACATAGTCATATTAAATTTAGAGGACAGTTATATAATATTAGATTGTGTAAGGATGGCTCGTTGGCAAACTCAGGGAAGCTAAGAAAGAGCCATCCATCCAATCACCGCTAGAGAAACATTCTAGAATGTCGATGTGTAACTCTCCTATCGGTTGAATAAGAAGGACCGTCTATGTGCCTATTGGCTATCCGAAACAATGATTTACTTTCAGCCGAAAACTATAAATACATAAAACTTTTGTACTATATTTGACACTGTTTTAGGAATAAGATTCCTACTTACTAGTCTTCTGTCTCCTCATTTTGCGACTTGGGAAGGTTCTAGTGTTCGAGTGCTCAAGTATTACTAAGAATTTAAGTTCGAGATACAATACGTTTAGATTGTTTAATCTTATTTTCATACTTAAATTTATTAGGTTTCACATTTATACTATCAGAGCTTTTATTCACTTCTGATGTCACTAGAATTGACTGATTTATTCTTCTATGCCTCTTTAATACTGTTGACATAAAATCCATAAATTGTGTGTGTAAGAGACCGATCAATTACAGTCCTGAACATCAATGGGAAGATTCAAAGAAACAATACCAAGTGAATTTAAGCTTCACTCCATTGCATAAGCAAGTGAATGGTACTGGGTTTGAGTCCCAGAGTGAATATCAACTCAGATGCAGGTACATTCAGCTGACGAGTCTCAAATAGGATGAAACGCGCGTCTTGGTTTTCACTGCTAGCCACTATCCATCTTTGCTTAAAATATCAAGACAGTTCTACTGTATGAAGCGGGAACTTGGAGAACTACTATAACCATCATCCAGAAGATACAGGTGCTTATTAACAGTTGTCTATGCAAGATACTTCGAATCCGTTGACCAGACACTATCAGCAAAAAGTTACTGAGGGAGAGAACAAACCAGATTCCATCCAGTGGGGGAAGAAATCAGGAAGATGCAGTGGATAGGATACACATTGAGGTTATGCAATTCATTGGCATAATGATGTGTTGAAACAAACAAGAAAACAGATAACTTGTTGAAATATCTAGATAAAAGGAACAGGCAGCCTTATGAATATCTGGTACTGATAATTTAGTTCGGCATGACAATGAAATTATAATGAATGTTTCACGCAGTTATAAATAAATATGTATATACATATATAAGGTGCTTGGAGCTAGTCTCCTAGAAGTCCCCAAGCCCTAGTTTTCTAGTTTGAGATGTTAATGACATCCTTTAAAACTGTGTGTTGGTCGATGTCATGCTCACATAACCATTTAGTTTTGATCGAATACTATCGACCAAGTTACTTTAGCGTGAGTGATTTAAATCTCATGCACTCCGTTGAGATGATAGGTAGTTGTCGCATGAGTAACGTGACGATTCCCAATAAAGATTGCTGACAAGTACCAACTACTATATAATTTAGTCCTAGGTCTTTTAGTGAACTGCGTTGATCATATTAGTGACTGAATGTTAGCTTCTTACTATTTAATGATTTAATAGTTAAATTCATGAGTCAATTAAAGCTAAACCACCATGGAAAACGTGAAAACACTGGACGACCGTTTCGTCCCATTGTGAGACTCTTCAGCAGTGTGCATCGACGATCCCATTTGCGAAATTCAAACCTGGGACCAGCCAGTCATGGATCGATGGGAGTTAGACATTAAAACCGTCAAAAGCCGGCTCAGTGGTTTGGAGGTTAAGCATTCGCGTGCGAGAGAGAGGATCCTGGATTCGAATCCCGCGGGTAGGTTCGTGGATGCACACTGCTGAGGAGTCCCACAATAGGACGAAATGGTCGTCCAGTGTTCCCACATTTTCCATGGTGGTCTAACTTTATTCCACTCATGAATTCAACTATTACTTTACTACAATCTCCATTAAAACTTCTGATAAATTTAGTATACAATGATTCTATTTAAAATGTTTCTATCTATAATATACATGCAATTTATTGATATGTAGGTCATAAGATGATGATAAGAATCTCATGGAAACTGTATACTTTGCATTTGAATCATATAAAATGCTTTCAAGGTTGTTTACATATAGAATTACACCTTAAAAATCATACGATTTTATAAGTAAACAAAATCATTGAGAGATTTTTTCTTCTAATTGACTATATGTGTATATAGGTGTAATTGTTCATCATTCATGAATAAATTGTGATGAATTGTTTCGTTGTTTTTTGTTTGTTTTCATAGTTAGAAAAGAAGAATGAGTAATGATTGTGTTCACAATGAAGCCATCCAGCTCAACGAATTTTTCAAGGATTCATGATTCCTATCATCGTTGGATGCCGGCTCAGTGGTTTAGAGGTTAAGTGCTCTGGTACAAGACTGATAGGTCCCGGGTTCGAATCTCGCGAGGTGGGATCGTGTATGCGTACTGCTGAGGAGTCCCACAATAGGACGAAACGGCCGTCCAGTGCTTTCGGGTTTCCCATCGGTTATCTAGCTTCGAATGATCTATGATTTCAACTATATATAATCAATTCCTATCATTTGTCAACTCATATAAATGATACATTTAAAGATGTTACTGTTAGATGAATAATCGTGTATTTTGAATAATACAACCAACCAACCAACTTCATTTGTAACTTTGATGTTGAGTGTAGAAATAAAATGAAAACTTA